ACAAGAAGGGAGATGAGAATCTTGCGTCAGACCACCTCTCCCGACTTGAAGGTCCCGGGAGGAGCACTTTCTAAGGCGAGATAAATGATACTTTTCCCAATGAGAGGTTATTCGTGCTTGCCATCGTTGAGAGTATCACCCCGTGGTTCGCCGACTTTGCCAATCATTTGGTCGGAAGGCAACTTCCCAAAGAGATGAATACAAATGAAAGAAGGAAGTTTCTTTCCGACCTTCGATACTACTTTTGGGATGATCCCCACCTTTTTCGGATTGGGACAGATGGGATCATTTGGAGGTGTGTACCGGAAAAGGAAATGATGGAAATCCTAAGCCAATGTCACGAGGGACCGACTGGAAGGCTTCATGGTGGAAACCACACCACAAGGAAGGTGCTTCAATCGGGATTCTACTGGCCGTCGTTGTTCCGGGATGCTGATGCATTTGTCCAGCACTGTGATAGCTGCCAAAGGACAGGTAATGTCTCTAATCGAAACAAGATGCCTGACACGCTACGACACAACTCCTAACAATAGCCAAGTGTAACCAATGAAAGGGACTGTAGTATAGTGGCACAAGTAATAAATATCAAATCCACGGGTCTCTAGAGTTACTATTACTCAGCTTAAGTTCATTATCTAGCAAACTAGATTAAGGATTGATTTACTAAATTACTATACTAATTACAGGTTGGGAACTCACTTTGGTTGTTTTACTGTTGATTAAACTGCGAAAAATCCTAAACTAGCTTGGAATCCCTTAAGTTGACCAAGCCCTCATAGACAGAATACCTGATAGGCAGTAGCCTTCACCGGAATAGACTGCTAAGGCGATTCACACAGATCTCCACTACATGGAATGAATTCCAGTACAAAGCAATGAATTGACTGACTCTCGCACAACCAATTCACTACTATCACTCAAGGAAGCTCTCTTAACCTAATCAGATTCTATCTATCATAGGTTAAAGCAGAAATCAAGAGAATTTGATATGAATTCAATTGACTCAGTAAATCATGCCTCAATCGATTATAATCACACAATATAGCATCCAAAACTTCATACAAGAAAGATCCTAACACATGGAACTAGGGTTCCTCAAAACCTAAGTGAAGGGAAGTTACACCATAGAGAAGAGAGAGACTTTAGAAATCTGATCTAGATCTTCAATCTCCATCTCCAAGCTTGATTCCCGAGCTCCAATGGTGAAGAAATCCTCCAAAATAGCTCCAAGAATGTTCCCAAGTCGCTCTCTCTCTAGGGTTCGTTCCTTGGGTGTTTTGGGAACCAAAACCCAGCTCTCCCTTTCCTTTGGCTCGAATCTGCCTCAAAAACCCAATTCTGGGCAAAATATGGGCAGAAATACGGTCGTAATTCTTCCATGCCCGTATTTTGCCCAAAACACGCCTTTTGGTTAAGTTTCAGCGTATCCAAGGCTCCTCTCGGCACTAAAAATACGGGCATGGGAGGGAAAAATACGATCGTATTTCTCATGCCCGTATTTCTTCCTCCGCTTCTGTTTAATGCTTCGTTTCTCCCTCGTCCGGACTCCGAATCAGTCGACATTTGATCCCAGACGCTCGTAGTCTCGTCCTCTTTCTTTTCATGACAAGATTCCATGATTATTTGTCCATAATATGAGGTATAAATCCATTCTTCCTCAGGTCATGCTTGAGTTTCTTCTCCCGAATTGCCAAATAATCTCCGATTGACTGGAAACTTGCGCCTATGCTTCAATTTACATGATAGGACCTGAAATGTGACAAAGGAACACAACCTAGCGTAAAATAGTCTAAGAAAGCAAAAAATCAAGCCAAAATTATCAAGAAACAAGGGTGCAAACATGTGCAAATACGACGTTATCAATGCCCCAAACGGTTTCCATTACATGTGATATTTTTTATGTTTGGGCATTGATTTCATGGGCCCTTTTTCCCTCTTATTTTGGAAATAAGCACATTCTAGTAGCCATGGACAATGTATCGAGGTGGATCGAGGCACAAGCCCTCCCCACCAATGATGCAAGACGAGTCTGCGGTTTCATTAAGAAATTGTTTTAACATTTTGAAACCCCAAGGGCCATCATTAGTGATCGAGGAACCCATTTCCAAAGAAAATTCGACAAAATCTTTGATTGCTATGGTGTCACCCACCGGGTTTTCATGGCCTACCACCCTCAGACAAGTGATCAGGTAGAATTGTCAAAGAAAATGATACTGGTCTGCAAAACTCGATGATACTCTATGGGCATACCGCACAGCCTACAAAACACCAATAGGCATCTCACCTTACCAATTGGTGTACGAAAAAGCATGCCATTTGTCCGTAGAGCTAGAGCACAGGGCTTTCTGGGCAACCAAACTGTAACACCCTACCCTATACGTATTACTTAATCATATTGTTCATACATTTGCAGCGGAAATAATCTCGGGTATTACATTAATTACCAAAATTTACCCAAATAAAATTTCGACATGAATTACTCACGTAATGGGCTAACAGTTCTTGTAACTAAAACCTGCAAAATAATTTATCTGAATCCATGCATTTAATGACAAACATATATACTCACAACCATATGCATTGGCTTTTCTTAGCCATAGTCACACTTTTCATATTCCACAACTGCATACCATACTTATACATACTATAATCGTCACAACTTACACAGTTACACAACATATACACATATCATCAACTTTCCACACCTGTGGATATCTCACACTAGATCAGAAGCTAGTATGCACATAAAAAACGTTCTCAAAACATTTTTACAAAAAGGTGTGGATCACTGGCCAAAATCCCGAGTAGTAGTCCAAGCACAGAATGGTTGAAGACCATACCTCATCTTGCCTTCAACTCTTGCTCAGCTCCCACCTATACACCTATCTACTGCTGCTGCCGATGATCTGCTTACACATAGCATAAGCAGAGAAGAAGAATAAAAGAGGGTCAGCTCATAGCTGAGTGAGATAATCATAGCATCGTGAGTTCATAACAGAGCATACCCCTATCATACATCTAACAATCAAGCCAAAGCACTAGGATCGGACCTCATCCATCCTCATATCCCAATAGGCAAAAGACTCAACCACCTTGACTTATGCATATGCATCTTATCATGTTTTAATCATAGGCGCCTGGCTACTCCCATGCTAATAACTCTCCCGGGAAACATACCCCACATCCTGTCGGATGTAGTCATACATACCCCAACATCCCGTCGGATGTGGTCATACATACCCCACACCACTTTGGGTGTAGTCATATCCCGACACCGCTCTGGGTGTGGTCATATCTCATAAGAATTCTTCAGTCACCACCACATGAGAGGTGTGACTATCATACATATCATAATAGAGTAATAGCATAGGGAGCCCTAATTACTATGTAGTTGACCGTGAGACCACAACACTCATATTCGGCATCCTTATACATGATTCCTATCTCATCTTGCTTAATCATAATTCTTTACTTACACATGTACTTGACCTGGCCACAATTGGCTCAACATAGGTAAATCAGGAGTCGTATAATTGCACTTCCTCGGGATAAACCCTCGTGCAAGTCATCCTCCTTAAAACATCATAATATTACCAGGGAATATATATCTTCCCACTTGTGCATCCAAATACAACAATCATGAAAAATCATATCCAATCGCCTTCTCGAACCATCATAAGGCATATTCACAATTCAACCCACATCTGGCAACATATATAGAATCATGAACATAAACAAGGTCCATATCGTTTAGGGCAAGTCAATAATATCATACAGAAGCCTATAGTTCATCATATAGCAGAAAAGTCCATACACCCCTAATCATGTCATTCTAATTCACCTAGGTCAATTCTAAGCATCAATATAATTATCGTGATACGACAAACCCGGTATGCCGTGCTAATCCCTCACCAGTTCTGGTCGTTCAAACACCGGTTCTAGCCTCCCGTACTTAAACGTCAATTTCACGAAGGAACCCCGAATTAAAATCCGAGACCGTCCTAATATCCCCTGCAATATCCCCGTCAATATTAGTTCTAGGCTCCGGGTCAAATTCTTGATAAAAACACATCAAACCCTGGTCGGAGCTAAATTCAGCGGTTTGGACCCCGGCCTAAATAATAGCCGAAATTCAGGGATTAGAACTAGAGGATTGATTACCTCGCTGCAGGAAGCTCGTATATGAAATTTGGGCTCAATCCGGCTTCCGGATACTCCGAAACCCTAATTTGGCTTATCGGGAATTCAAGAAATTCCTGAACCAAAAACTCGTTTTAAAGCTCTAATTCGATAAATCACGATGTAAGGATGGATTAGGCATTACTTACGGGATTTTTGGATCACCATAGGTTAAGAATCGAGCTCTGAAAATTTCTCTCCATCCCTCTCCGTGCGCTCTACTTTCCTCGGTCCCAGAAAATGAAAGAATGGGACGAAAGGTTAATGATAGGAAATAGACAGGGGAAATGTATATAGTGTAAACAAAGCGGTTCGGCCGCTTATGATTTATTTTATATTAATTATATATATATATATTATATATAATTAATACGTATACTTATCCGATCGATCAATAATCCGATTTTCGTCGAAATACTATCAAAACGCTCGATTTTGAATCGCGAACTTTCTAGCGATCGAGATATGGGTTTTGCCGGAACGGGATGTCACCATTCTCCCCTCCTTAAAAGATTTCGTCCCCGAAATCTAATCTTGAGTTGATACTATGCATCTGTTCGTTACCCTCCTAACATATACTACCACATATCTTGTTACTACCTAACTCTTAGGTTAGGAGATCTAAAATACATAACTAAACACATAACACCTCAAGTTCCCAATATAAGGTTTCAAAAACCTATATCGGGTTATCACAACAAAAGCACATCAACAAATTGAAAGCATAACTTACTAAGCAAGATTGTTAACCTGCAAAGTAGGTTGCCACTAACACAAGGTCATACCAACCTATAAAATGGTTACCACAACATCATCAAGATTCATATCTCTATTTAAATATCTACCATCAGAACTCACCATGTTAGCATAGTCTAAACTCAATTGCATTGCATAGCTAGCCATCATGCTTCTCGATTGGTTAGTAGGATTTCTAGGACAACTTCTGTGCGAGCTACAAGGAAATATTGGCCATAACTTGATCCACACACCATTAAAAATTTCTGCCAAAATCATTACTTGGACAACAAGATAAAAAGTCCACATATTTTCAAAAATCTCTTAAACCATAAAATTTTCAAGATTCCTTCAAATACTCAAAATCATGCTTAACCATATGCAACTGACTATGCAACACATCATCACCTTTGGTCCAAATCCTGGAAAGTTAAGTGCAGGTACAGGTATGGAGTACTCCCTCCCCTTTCGAGGGTGATCAGTCCTCAAGAGTGAAAGTAACATACCCATAATGCAGAAAACTAACCAGCTCTGATACCAAACTGTAACACCCTACCCTATACGTATTACCTAATCATATTGTTCATACATATGCAGCGGAAATAATCTCGGGTATTACATTATGATAGACCGTTAGTTACACATGTTTTCACCCCTGTTCTTACACCGTTTGAGAGGTGGTTTCTCGTGTTTTAGACCGATTTCACGCTAGGTTGTGCTTGTATGTGATATTTTAGGTCCTGGCAAGTGAATGAAGGTTTAGGAGCGAGTTCGGGGTCGATTGGGTGAAGATCGGGTGCGAGACAAGTCACAAAGGAGGCCACACGGGCAACTGGGTATGCCACACGGCCGTGTGGCCCTGCCCGTGTGAGTCGGGATTTCCTGGTTTTAAGCCAAATTCCGAACCAAAGAAGGGAGAGCTGGGTTTTTGGATCCCAAACACCCAAGGGATGAACCAAAGAGAGAGAGGGCGATTTGAGGGCATTCTTGGAGTAGAGAAGGAGGATTTCTTCGCCTTGGAAGCTTGAGGAACAAGCCCGGACTTGAAGACTGATCATCTGAAGATTCTTACTGCAGTCTCTCTCTTCTCTATGGAGTAACTTCCCTTCACTTAGGTTTTGAGGAACTCTAGCTATGTTTGTTTGATTGGATGATTGTATGAGTACTCTGACTGGATAATCTTGAGTTCATATTCAATCTATGCATGTTTTCATGATTCAATTCTGCTTTAGTCGAGATTATTGATTCTGCTTTGATCCTATGAGAGGGAATACCTGATTAGGTCAATAGAGCACCATAGATTGATAGTAGTGGATCGATTGCTTTAGTCAAGGGTTGATTCACTGCATTGTATCGATTGAGAACCTCTTTCGATAGAGGGAGTCTAGTTCAGAATGCCTTGATCAGTTGTTCTAGAGAAGGATACGTCCCTCTAGGCAATTGACTCAAGAGGGCCTTGTTCCTTTAGTCGAGACTCAAGGTCTAGTCAAGGATTCTCCGCATTGTGAATGAAAGTGAAACAGGTTAGAGATCATCAATCATTAATCTGGCTAGTGGCTAGGGGGAATCATACCTAAGTGAGTTCCCAACCTGTAATTAGATTAACTTTAACTGTAGTTTGCTAGAGTAGTTTTAGTTCTTTCATCTTAATCTGATTTGCTAAATAATAAACTGAAGCTGAGTAATAGTAACTCTAGAGACCCGTGGATTCGATATTTATCACTTGAGCCACTTTACTGCAGTCCCTTTCATTGGTTACACTTGGCCTTTGTTAGGTGTTGTATTTTAGAGCATCAAGTTTTTGGCGCCGTTGCCGGGGACTTTCTAGAGTATTAGGAAAGGCAGAAGTTTGTTACTTTAGCGTTTTTCTTTTCTTTTCCACCCTTGCTTTTCACTTGGTTGTTTTTGTTTTTGTTGGTGCAGATCTGAATCATGGATCCTAATGGCTTCTCCAATCATTGGGGGTATCCACCACCACCTGAGTGGTATTACCCCGAGACTCCCTGGAGCAATCAAGGAGGAGAAGACTATGGATTCGGGTTCTAGTACCAACCCCCTTACTACGGAGAACAACCGGATCCCTGGGCATATCAAGAACAACCTCATTACCAAGAAGAATTTTTCCCACAACCAGAGGGGCCATTGGAGCTGGAGTTACCCATGGCGGCCTTCACGGGCCATTCTGCAGAGCCATGCTACACTCCACAGCCAGATCCACACTATGATTTGAGGCTTCTCATGGAGAGATCATGCTCCAGTATGGATCATTGTGTCCAGGCCTATCGTGAAACAGAGGGGATCCTCCTGAGCCTTAAGAAGAGCGTCGATGATCTTGAGCGATCTTGGGCGCAACCTGCTCCAGATCACCCTTTTGCTACCATACAAGAAGATGAGGAGGAAGAAGAAGGCTACAAGGACATTGTGGAGCACACTGAAGTTGTCACGGAGAGCTCCCGTGATGATCATGATCAGGAGTGTCCTGTCGTAGCCGACCGCACCTTCCCACACCCCAAACTGCGCTTTGAAGAGGCGGGCATGAGTGAGGAGATGCAAGAAGATCTCATGAAAGAAATTGCTTGGCAACTTGCTCTCCAATCCGTGCTAGAAGAAGAAGAGCAAGAAAGGGTGCAGAAAGAAGTTGTGGAGGATGGCGAAAGTGAAGCTGGAGAAGTTCTTGATCATTTCCCAGGGGTGATACCACATGAAGAAGAAAGGGAGGTTAAAGAAGCAATTGGCATCCAGGCTGAGGATGAAGTTGAGGTGGAAGAGGCATGCACCGGCCATGAGTTGCAAGTAATATCCCCACCAAACTTCGAGGAACTGCTTAGCAAGGACCCATTTGCAGTGTCTCTTTGCCAGACCAAGGCCACCTCGACATCGGTCCCTCTTGGTGGACGCGATGGTGGCCAATCGATGCTGTCATATCTGGTTTGGGGCAATGAGACGAGAGAAGAGAAGGAGAGGTCTCGAGGGTGGAGACTTCATCTGCATCAAGTACATGAGCCTTCATCACCTGCCACACCACATGCTCATGACTTGAGACTCCACCTCATCGACGAGAACCTCAACTTCAAGGAGGTTCTAGCATGGACCGAAACTTAGGAGCCATCGTCCGGCTCACGACGTGAAAGAAGCGCTTGTTGGGAGGCAACCCAACCAGTCGGTTTGCATTTCTTTCTCTATTTCTCCTCGGTTGAGTTAGTTTTGTTATTTGATTTTAGAGTCAATAACTCAACCTTTGTGAGATTTTGTGTGGTGTTTGTGTTCTGATTACTCTCTCTTTCTGGAATGCACCGCCTGACCCGTTCATCATCATTCACCCTTGATCTGGTAACTTCGTTCTACCCTCTTTATCTTTCCTCCATTGAGGACAATGTCGTGCTTAAGTGTGGGGGGATGTTCGATTATTTATGCGGGTGAATGTATGGCTGTTTGTGTGCTTGGAGCCTAGTCCACTGTCCAAATTTTTAAATTTGAGGGCTCCAAGTACGTGTTTCCTTGCAATTGCCTGCTCAGTGTGCTTTGAATTGACAGTCTTTATAGTGATATGCAACCTAGGGAGGTAGTGTAGCACTATGGAGGATGTTGATGCATTTAAGAAGTCTCATTTCTCCTTCATATTGTGTTGGTTGATTGAGTGAATTAGTGATCTTAGGACCCTTGAATTGTGTGGTGTTGTGGATTCTCTGCATGTCATGGACTCTTGTGCCATGTTTTGAAAATAACAGGTGCTCGAAAATGTGCTTCAAAATAAATGTCTCCCGTGCGAATAGGGCGAAAGTGTGTAAGGGGAGACGGGAATCCGTTCCCAATTTCCACCTACTACCTCCAGCCCCCTTACATGTCTTTCCCCCGCACGAGGCTCGAGACATCCGCTCCTGGCATGGCCGGTAAGAGCAGGTTGGGACCCTTGAAAAGAAAAGAAAAGAAAAATAACAGAAAACAAGCAAAACAGAAAAAAAAGGGTTCCAACCATCTTCAAAGAAAATCGAGCACCTTGAAAAATGTGAGTCCATGATCCTTTGTTTTTGAGAATTTCTCCATCCACGATTCATTTGTCCTCTGTTCACTTTTTGCCATGATGCCGACTCGATAAGAAGCTTTGAGATGACTTGTGCGTCGGTTGACCTCGTAAGCTGCTAAATGACCTAGGAAGTCCTCTACTTACGATCTGGGTTGTTTGTTGCTATGGAGGTCTGGAGAGTTGCATGGGTTTGAGTTAGGTTTGCTTGGGGACAAGCAAATGGTTAAGTGTGGGGGAGTTTGATAGACCGTTAGTTACACATGTTTTCACCCCTGTTCTTACACCGTTTGAGTGGTGGTTTCTCGTGTTTTAGACCGATTTCACGCTAAGTTGTGCTTGTATGTGATATTTCAGGTCCTGGCAAGTGAATGAAGGTTTAGGAGAGAGTTCGGGGTCGATTGGGTGAAGATCGGGTGCGAGACAAGTCACAAAGGAGGCCACACGGGCAACTGGGTATGCCACACGGCCGTGTGGCCCTGCCCGTGTGAGTCGGGATTTCCTGGTTTTAAGCCAAATTCCGAACCAAAGAAGGGAAAGCTGGGTTTTTGGATCCCAAACACCCAAGGGACGAACCAAAGAGAGAGAGGGCGATTTGAGGGCATTCTTGGAGTAGAGAAGGAGGATTTCTTCGCCTTGGAAGCTTGAGGAACAAGCCCGGACTTGAAGACTGATCATCTGAAGATTCTTACTGCAGTCTCTCTCTTCTCTATGGAGTAACTTCCCTTCACTTAGGTTTTGAGGAACCCTAGCTATGTTTGTTTGATTGGATGATTGTATGAGTACTCTGACTGGATAATCTTGAGTTCATATTCAATCTATGCATGTTTTCATGATTCAATTCTGCTTTAGTCGAGATTATTGATTCTGCTTTGATCCTATGAGAGGGAATACCTGATTAGGTCAATAGAGCACCATAGATTGATAGTAGTGGATCGATTGCTTTAGTCAAGGGTTGATTCACTGCTTTGTATTGATTGAGAACCTCTTTCGATAGAGGGAGTCTAGTTCAGAACGCCTTGATCAGTTGTTCTAGAGAAGGATACGTCCCTCTAGGCAATTGACTCAAGAGGGCCTTGTTCCTTTAGTCGAGACTCAAGGTCTAGTCAAGGATTCTCCGCATTGTGAATGAAAGTGAAACAAGTTAGAGATCATCAATCATTAATCTGGCTAGTGGCTAGGGGGAATCATACCTAAGTGAGTTCCCAACCTGTAATTAGATTAACTTTAACTGTAGTTTGCTAGAGTAGTTTTAGTTCTTTCATCTTAATCTGATTTGCTAAATAATAAACTGAAGCTGAGTAATAGTAACTCTAGAGACCCGTGGATTCGATATTTATTACTTGAGCCACTTTACTGCAGTCCTTTTCATTGGTTACACTTGGCCTTTGTTAGGTGTTGTGTTTTAGAGCATCACATTAATTACCAAAATTTACCCAAATAAAATTTCGACATGAATTACTCACGTAATGGGCTAACAGTTCTTGTAACTAAAACCTGCAAAATAATTTATCTGAATCCATGCATTTAATGACAAACATATATACTCACAACCATATGCATTGGCTTTTCTTAGCCATAGTCACACTTTTCATATTCCACAACTGCATACCATACTTATACATACTATAATCGTCACAACTTACACAGTTACACAACATATACACATATCATCAACTTTCCACACCTGTGGATATCTCACACTAGATCAGAAGCTAGTATGCACATGAAAAACGTTCTCATAACATTTTTACAAAAAGGTGTGGATCACTGGCCAAAATCCCGAGTAGTAGTCCAAGCACAGAATGGTTGAAGACCATACCTCATCTTGCCTTCAACTCTTGCTCAGCTCCCACCTATAAACCTATCTACTGCTGCTGCTGATGATCTGCTTACACATAGCATAAGCAGAGAAGAAGAATAAAAGAGGGTCAGCTCATAGCTGAGTGAGATAATCATAGCATCGTGAGTTCATAACAGAGCATACCCCTACCATACATCTAGGAAACAAGCCAAAGCACTGGGATCATATCTCAGCTCTCTGACATCCCAATAGGCAAAAGACTCAACCACCTTGACTTATGCATATGCATCTTATCATGTTTTACTTATAGGCGCCTGGCTACTCCCATGCTAATAACTCTCCCGGGAAACATACCCCACATCCTGTCGGATGTAGTCATACATACCCCAACATCCCGTCGGATGTGGTCATACATACCCCACACCACTTTGGGTGTAGTCATATCCCGACACCGCTCTGGGTGTGGTCATATCTCATAAGAATTCTTCAGTCACCACCACATGAGAGGTGTGACTATCATACATATCATAATAGAGTAATAGCATAGGGAGCCCTAATTACTATGTAGTTGACCGTGAGACCACAACACTCATATTCGGCATCCTTATACATGATTCCTATCTCATCTTGCTTAATCATAATTCTTTACTTACACATGTACTTGACCTGGCCACAATTGGCTCAACATAGGTAAATCAGGAGTCGTATAATTGCACTTCCTCGGGATAAACCCTCGTGCAAGTCATCCTCCTTAAAACATCATAATATTACCAGGGAATATATATCTTCCCACTTGTGCATCCAAATACAACAATCATGAAAAATCATATCCAATCGCCTTCTCGAACCATCATAAGGCATATTCACAATTCAACCCACATCTGGCAACATATATAGAATCATGAACATAAACAAGGTCCATATCGTTTAGGGCAAGTCAATAATATCATACAGAAGCCTATAGTTCATCATATAGCAGAAAAGTCCATACACCCCTAATCATGTCATTCTAATTCACCTAGGTCAATTCTAAGCATCAATATAATTATCGTGATACGACAAACCCGGTATGCCGTGCTAATCCCTCACCAGTTCTGGTCGTTCAAACACCGGTTCTAGCCTCCTGTACTTAAACGTCAATTTCACGAAGGAACCCCGAATTAAAATCCGAGACCGTCCTAATATCCCCTGCAGTATCCCCGTCAATATTAGTTCTAGGCTCCGGGTCAAATTCTTGATAAAAACACATCAAACCCTGGCCGGAGCTAAATTCAGCGGTTTGGACCCCGGCCTAAATAATAGCCGAAATTCAGGGATTAGAACTAGAGGATTGATTACCTCGCTGCAGGAAGCTCGTATATGAAATTTGGGCTCAATCCGGCTTCCGGATACTCCAAAACCCTAATTTGGCTTATCGGGAATTCAAGAAATTCCTGAACCAAAAACTCGTTTTAAAGCTCTAAATCGATAAATCATGATGTAAGGATGGATTAGGCATTACTTACGGGATTTTTGGATCACCATAGGTTAAGAATCAAGCTCCGCAAATTTCTCTCCATCCCACTCCGTGCGCTCTGCTTTTCTCGGTCCCAGAAAATGAAAGAATGGGACGAAAGGTTAATGATAGGAAATAGACAGGGGAAATGTATATAGTGTAAACAAAGCGGTTCGGCCGCTTATGATTTATTTTATATTAATTATATATATATATATATATATATTATATATATAATTAATACGTATACTTATCCGATCGATCAATAATCCGATTTTCGTCGAAATACTATCAAAACACTCGATTTTGAATCGCGAACTTTCTAGCGATCGAGATATGGGTTTTGCCGGAATGGGATGTTACACAAACTGCTGAATATGGACCCTACTTTGTGTGGAAATGAAAGAAAGTTGCAGGTGCTAGAACTCGAGGAGTGGCGTCTTCATTAGGGGTGGGCACCGGTTCGGTTTGGTCAAAACTGAACCAAAATGGAGCATACCGGGTCTCCGATGTCATCTAAACCCCAAACAGAATTCGAACCAAAATATATTTTGGTTCGGTCAGTCCAAACCGAAATATATATCGGTTCGGTCTGGTTTTCATGCTCAACCCGAAACCCTTCCTTCCTTTTGTCTTTTAATCTGCCTTCTGCAACCCCTCTCACTTTCTTTTTCCTTTTTCGACAGATCCATTACCCTCTCTCTCTCCCATTCCCATTAATTTTCTACCTCTCCAATTCTCCATCTCTCCTTTTTTCCAATCTTCCCGTACAACATCAAACCACCAAAATCAATTCTGACCCAGATGGAGGGGAGGAAGGGAAGTGGATATGGCGGCAAGGAGTAACGATGAGAGAGAAGGAAGGGAAGTGGTACACCACCGTTGAGCACATCGCCGCCAAGATGTCAACATTAGAATCGTCGGTGGTAGATCTCCTTTCCTCTCCTTCCCTGGCTGAGGTCTTCCTGGTTAAGATCGGCTCCAGTCGCGACGGCGCTCAAGGATTGGGATGTCTTGACTCGGATTCTCTTCTCTAGGCAGCAACGGCGAGAGATGATAGATGAGAGGTGTTCTTTGTTTGTTGTCTGCAGAGAGAGGCGAGAGGGATCATGGGCTAGGGTTGTGTGATTCATTATTTGGATTTTGGGCTCATGAGGGTAAGTCTTTTGGGCTTGTTGGGGGACTGGGCTATGATGATTATTGGGCTGGGCAGCATGTTTCGGTTTGTCGGTTCAAAATTTGGAACCTCGGTTCGATCAAAAGAACCATGGTTTCCGAATTTTGCACGTTCTCCTTCCGAATTTTGAACCCACTAACACTAATTTGGTTTTGGTTCGGTTTAAATCGGTTTTGGTTTGGGTCGGGTTTACCGAACTGTATGCCCACACCTAGTCTTCATGCCTATGAGAACACCAAGATCTACAAGGAGAAGATGAAGAGCCTGCATGATGCTAGACTAAAAGGGGGGAAAGACTTTCAATCAGGGGAGCAGATGCTTTTGTACAACTCTCGGTTACTTCTATTCCCCAGGAAGCTGAGATCGAAATGGTCAGGCCCATATACGGTCAACCGAGTGTTTCCATACAAAGTGGTGGAGATTTCCCACCTGGAGCAAGGGATCTTCAAAGTAATCGGACACCGCCTCAAACGTTACCTTGGAGGTGAGGTAATGCCCCAAAAGGAGGTGGTGCTCATACAAGATGTTTAGTCTGAAGTCACCGTCTAGCTTAAGACATTAAACTAGTGCTAGTTAGGAGGCAACCCAGCAGAGGTTAGTCCTTTTATCATGATGTGGAATATTGTTATGTGTAATAACCTCGCATCGGGTGATAATGTGCTAGGTTTGTGTTTTGCTTTGTCTTCTTTTTGGAAGCTTAAATTTCCTACCCTAGAAACCGTCCCACTTTCACTTTCCAAGCCTTGTGGTAACATCACCCCCTATTTTATGCCATTGAGGGCAATGTCGAGCTTAAGTGCGTGTGTGTGTGTGTGGGGGGGGGGGGGGGGGGAGTTAGTTTATTATTGTGCTTGTGTTTGTGATTGATTGCTTGGGGCCTTGATGTAAGCCCAAATTTTCAAAAATTTGAGGGCTCCAAGCATTGCATGATCAAAGTGGCTGGTCTCTGGGTGAATCTCATGTTTATTGGCATTGACCTTGAATGGATTTCATGTAATTGAGTGTGTCCTATGATGATGACTGAGAGTTTCTTTAGGTGTGTGCAAAAGTTTAGTTCTCGTGTGTGCAAAAGTTTAGTTCTCGTGTGTGCTTAAACGAATGGATGTCTTAACTTGGTTACTCTTTGATCACAATTGCCTTGCATAGAATTTTGTGAAATTGCAATAGATGATTGGGTAATTAGGTAGACATGTGAGTTTGGTTCCGATCGTCTTCTTCTTGTGTGCTTAGATCCCTCTTACCGTGGAAATCAACATTCACCGTTGTCACTAGTTAGTATGATGGAGGCATAGGATTAGTTCACGCCCAACAAGTTGACTGTCCCGAAACATTTTATCCTCTAGCCAACCCCTTTGATCCTTGTGACTTTGGGGGTCTTTCTAATGTTAGGATCTTTGTGCTTATTGAGTTTAATGTTGATTGCTAGAACGAATCCCCTCCATCCTTTCTTCGTGTCAAAACGTGAGTCGTCCTTGTGTCCCGGAGCTTTCCCTTTTTGAGCTCCATTGAGGTCCTACATAGGAGGATTTCACACGGTTCTTGCTATGAAAGAAAAGGTAGTGTTGGAGGAAGTTCTTAATAGAGAGCATTGTTCGTTAAGTGTTAAGTTGGAAAATGTTTAACTCTCTAGTACCCCCTAAGAAAAAAAAATGGAAAGTAGAAAAGAAAAGGGAACGAAAAAGAGGTAATAAAACGAGGTAAATAAAAGTAGAGAATTGCCACAAAAGTCAAAGTGTATGCTCTGGATAGGGTTTCTTGGCACTCAAGCCATTGAACCACCTAAGTATTTATTAACCTCCTTGACTACTATGATTGAGATGTGGATAGCAAGAATAGACCGAGGAAGTGTGCTTGAATGTAGTTCGTGGTTGGTAGTGGTTTGGAAGAAGGGAATAGCGATTTTTGGCCGATGCTAGTGGCCGTTGAGTGTAGAGAAGGTTCATAGTCGAAGCCATAAAACCTTCAGTTTTAGGGTGAAGATGTAGGACCTCCTGCTATGTTTGCCACCACCCAAAAAGGTCTTTTCCCCATGTCCAAGACAATTGCCAGTCATTTGAACCCGTGTCTAAGACCTTCGGACAAGCTAGTGATGACAACCATCTCGTGAACTCTAGCCTTTAGAGGTTGACGTCGTGGTGGAGAGACGATGGGGATGAATGTTATTGGTTCTGCACATCTTTTGCACCAAATGGTCCTGACCCCACTGGTCGAGAGTGAGTGATCCATTCATGTTTTGCTAGTTCATATCTTACCCCGGCGAGGACCTATGTTGCCCCATCGTTTGTGCCTTGGACTTTAAATCGATGCATGGTTAGTTATGGCTGGTGAGTAGCTTTGTCGAGACTTGTGTTGGTTTGAGAACAGGGTGAGAAATTTTCATTTGCACGGTCTTTATGCATTTTGAATTCTTTTGTGGTGGATGTCAGTATTGCATGCGTCGGGTCATGTGTTGATGCCCAATAGCCATTGAGATTCACCGCTTTGAGCCCTTTAATATGTCCCCAAGTTATCTAGTCAAGTTGGAATATTACCTTGTTTGGAAATGGTTTGCTTGGGGAAAAGCAAACATCTAAGTGTGGGGGAGTGATTTGGGTCCAATTGTACACATTTTATCCCCGTTTTCCTTAGACGTTTGATGCATTTGTACTCCGTGAAGTGTGGTTTACGCTAGGTTGCGCCTTGTTTTAGTATTTTCATATCCTAGTATGTGGAACTGACCCTGGATCGAAAGTAAGATGAAAAGGAGCGAAAATGAGTCAAAGGGTGGAAGCAACTGAGGATCACGGCCAATGATGATTTTTCACTGTCTTAGGATCGTGAAAAGGGCTCCCAGACCGTGAAGCGCCAAGGGTCCAGGAGCATTTTCACACCTTGCGAGCTCTCATTCAGTTCACGGTCGTAAGATTGTGAACCAAATTCCCAGACCGTGAATAAACTAAATAAAACGATGCAGATCAGCTCGACATCACGGTCCAGAAGAAATGTTCACGGTCGTGAACTGGAAACGTGAACTGACCGCGACCTGGGTAGGGTGGAAGTAGTTTGGGTTGCGGGTTGTGGATAATCCGCAAACCGCACCAACCCGCACCTATTGTGGGTAACCATACCCACAAGTTGTGGGTAGTGGGTTGGGTGTGGGTAGTAAAATAACGATTTTTGTGGTTAGTGGTTATCCACTACCCACCGCGGTTAACCCACAATAACCACACTAATTATATTTATTTAGTGAATTAACTTTATAATATAATGGTATGTGAAAAGTGCGAGGATAAAAATTAAACTAGCCACCAAATAAAAAAGACATATCTAATCAGTTTTATGTAATAATTTTTTAGTTTATAAAACACTATAATCAATAGAGTGGAGAATAATCAATTCATTAAAAGTGAACACCTTTTGTAACTTTTATCAGTATGTTTTTGCTGTGTGAAAAAAATACAAGATCATATTTAATTGTCATATTTCACCCCTAGTCGGGGAAATATGAAATCACAGCTCTCTGACACAAAAGTTGAATACCAAACTCAAAAAGAAAAAATCTCCACGTTGAGTAAGATCGATGTACAAAATTGTATCTTCACAAACAACACAAGTCTATATCATTATAGTCTAGTTACGAACAACAAATATGTTAGTGGCGAATAGAACTCTATGCTTGCAAAGATGGATTTTTGCGGGTAACCACACCCAACCCGCACAAACCCACAGTGGGTAGTGGTTACCCACCCACTAACCACTGCAGTGCGGGTTGTGGGTAGCATAATTGTAAATTTATGGGTGTGGGTACCCGCAAAATGTGGGGCGGGTAACCACACCCACCCCAATTTCCACCCCTAGACCTGGGTATAAAAGGAGGGTTGAGCTAAAGGAAAAAAGGGGAGGAGACCTTGAGTGAGAAAACTTTCTTCTCAACATTCTAGAGAAAGAAAGTGACGAGCAAGAAGGAAGAAGAGGCTAGGGTTTCACTCCAAGGCAAGGATTTGGGAAATTCTTCCCCAAAGTGAAGATCTCTATTACACAAGGAAGGATTCAAGCATCTCCATGATGTTTTGTTTCCCTTCTCCTTGTGTTTTTCCCTCTCCCAGCATGGAGTAGTGTCCCTTTTCACTTGGGTGTTTGTGAACCCTAACTTCTACCATGTGATTGATTGTATGGAATGATTGTTTATGTGTGGATGTGTTTTAATATGAATTTGGATGTATTTTCATGGAATATTGTGTTGTGTGTTTGCCTATCAATCTATTTTGCCATTCTAACCTAGGTAGAGAGAAAACCCCATTTTTGTGAAAGAGGCTTGTAAAGCTGGGTTTTCTTAAGCAAATCTTGTCTCCTATCTAGGTTAATGTAGGGAAAGCCTCCTTATTCGTATTAGCACCTAGGTTGGTTGTGTTTTGGTCGTCCGAACTCCGATTCGAGAGAGAAGGTTAGACAGTCCTTAGTCGATTAGGCCAAGAGAGTTACCTTGGTAGCTTAATCTGAATTCCTTCGCTTAGAGACCGAGAGAGTGATGTTCCATCACTAGTGCACTTCCCTTACGGTTCACAACCACCTCCACCACACGTTTTCATTCATTCCGACAAGTCATGGTAGGTAGTTAGGGGGAGCTACACCCGGGTGAATCCTTCTCATTTAGAGTCAAAACCAATTACCTTTACGATCATTTTAATTGTAGATTGTAGTTTTCAACAAAAAACTAATCGCTACTTAATGTTTCAAACAATCGAAATTGGAGTACATGGACTGTCTCCTATCTAGGTTAATGTAGGGAAACCCTCCTACGCCCGGGTTGATATTTAAACATATTTGCCCTATATTGCACCCAATTAAGGTTTATACTTGGGCCCTGATTGGGAGTTTTATTGTAATATTCGGGAAGAGTCAAACACTTATTTACAACAATATTTTACTTTTTCTCTAATGCAATTCCAATTTCTTTCTTTTTATTTTTATCTTTTGACATAATTTTTTTTGGTTGTGTAAAGATGGAAAACCTTGAACTAGTTTTAGATACATAACCCCAAAATTGAAATGACCTTTTTCAATCCCATAGGTTTCATGTATGAATTTTTGTGATGAATATACACACGGTATATTCAGTACCACCATGATATATTTTTATAATATATATTGCATGACACCATGATTAGTGTGTTTATTCTAAAATATATTAAGGCGTATGTCATTTTATAAAACATAATTAATTTGAAATTCAAGTTAAAGTTAATGAGATATAGTCAGTTAAAATTTGATGAAAAAGTGGTTATGCATAAATTTGGGACTATACACTTAAGTTGTTATCTCCAAAATTCACAACAATTTATTTTTGTTTCCCAAAAAATTTGAAGAGAAATTTGGTTACGTGTTTCGTATTTGAACTCTACTAAACCCCAAGCATTCGTAAAATTTCATTTTCTATTACCTCATTTCTTTGGAAAACACAGCCCACAAATAAATGTATTTTGACTTAGATAAAGTCGAAATCATTCACGAATCCATTAAACTTTTGTTAGCCACTACTTTTTTTTCTTCTACTAACTATCAAGACCGGCTCTAACACTTGCGATAGTCCGTATGCAACCAGACTATAGATGAAAGTGCTTGTTTTGCCACTACATGGGAAGCTCTATGAATGTGCATATTTATACATATTTTGACCCTCGATTCTTGACCTTTTCTTGGGATTTTTTATAAGCGTGATATATGTTTGTTTTATAATTAGGTGTTACTTAAGGAATTCAAACCTCAAACCTCCAAATTGCAGACCAGTGCTAGTATCATTAAACCAAACCTTTGCATGTGACCGTTTCTTGACAATTTACATTGGGAACACCCTCTTGTTAGCCGATTATATGCTAGGTTGTAATATTTTTCCATGTTTCAGGTCCTATTATGCGGAGAAGGCTTGAGAGCGAGTTTTATGCATTTGTAGACCAAAAAGAGACCAAAAACAAAAGTCACGGTCAGCACCTTGAAAAGTCACGACTTTGAAACACCTCAAAATGGCCGTGACATACTTACAAAGGCTGTGACATACTTCCAAAGGCTCTGATAAAAAATCATGACAGTGAATTTCCCAATTGTCATGTGACTTCTCATAAGCGACTAGTTGAGACGGTTCATATTTTAAAGTCACTGCCAGAAATCCCAAAGTCACAGTCGTGACTTCTACCAGCGACTTTGCCACTGTCGGGTATAACTAAACGTTTGGAAATTTTCCGAAAGGATAGCTGCGTTTTTTATAGAAAACATAAGAGAAAAGAACCGTAGAGAGAGTGCGACTTAGAGAGTTCTTGGAGCGAAGCTCGATGAACAAGCTTAGAAGAGGAGATTGAAGATCACAAGATAATTTTCATCATCATTATGTAGTTCTTCCTTTCCTTTGTATTTTCTTCTCTCTATATAGTGAAGTTCCTCCTTGTTTGGGTATGAGGAACTCTGGTCATGATTTGTTGAATTGATGATTATATGATACTCTGATTCGTTGAACTCAAAGTTTATATCTAGTTTATGCACGTTTCAATGAATTGTTTGAGTCTTAAAAAGTTTTGATAATTTTTGCTTTGACCTAGATGAGAGAATATATAACTAGGTTGATAGAGTGAACATCAATTGGAAGTAGGGAGTCGACTATACGATAGTGAGTTGATCCATTGCTTTGTATTGGATGTGAATCCAATATAGGGAGTATAGTTTGAATTGCCTTGGGAGATTATCTAAGTTGATCATAGAGTCCCTCTAAGAAGTCTAATCAAGATTCAAGACTTGTTAAGGACTCTTCATATTATAAACAAAGAGTGAAATGAAGTAGAGAATCATCAATCATTAATCCAACAAGTGACTATAGGGAATCAATACTCAAGTCAAATGTCATCATTGTATTTTTAGTTTTTAGTTGTTTGAAATAATCATTTCTGTACCTAAATCGGCTAGATAATAAATTGAAGTTGAGTACTGGTACATCTAGAGGTCCGTGAATTCATATAATTAGAACTCAATAAATTAAAGTTGAGTACTGGTTCACTTGGCTTGTGTTAGGAGTAGTAGTTTATAGCGATCACTCTATTAAAGCTCTGAAGATTAAAAATGACATGATTCATACTCAAAAGATGAAAAAAGATGAAAAAATTCCTCCAAGATGGCCCCGCATGTCAACTGAGAAGTTTCCTTGGACAAAACATGATAAATAGTCAATTACGAGTCACCACAAAATGCAACAACCAGAAAATTATGTATTAGACACCATTTCATAGCATATCGTAAAACGAGTAGTTTCGCAACAAAATCATATGAGATACAATCATACAATTTACTACAAAAGTGGTGCGACTTTATTGGTTGGACTTCATAGCCCCATCGAAGCAAACTATGATGCCCTCAATGGGCATGTGACATTCTAGTTGTTCCTATGAGCACCTTGGTTAAAGAGATTATTTCCTGATAAGGGATTAAGGGTTGTCTTCCTTCCTTCTTCTCAACCTTTTGTCCCTCTGTTGTCCTACATTCCTCTACTTGAGCTACCAGTTACAGAATAACACCGAAGCTTGGAATAATTTGAAATCATAGACGACTTTGCATCATCATTTTCATATATGTCAGAGGAGGGAAATCGTGTGGACTATGATTACCTTGGAAATATGAGGGAAAAAGAGCAATGATTTCCGTTCATTATCCATCGTAAGTATTCTCGTGGATAATCTTATTTGTTCTCATCCTACTATTTGTCATAATTCCTTAGTAATCCTATAATAAAACACCATGGGTCATATCTTCTACTGGATTACAACAGAGAGGGCAAAAGCTTGCAATGGAAATCTCTTTATTGAAGAGAATACCTCGCAATGGGAGAAAGCCACAAACAAGTCTTCAAAGAAAAAAAAAATTAGTTTTAGAGGGACTAAGACATTCCACAAGAATTTCCAAAATTTGGTGTACAAGTAGTCTGTAATGGGGTTGTGAAAAGGGTTAATTTCATAAGAGAAGAGGTGATAACCTGATTTCACCATGTATTTACTACATTTGTCATTGGTGTCAAATAATTCTGTTGTCGCTCAGAGTAGTTGGAAGAAAAATAGAGTATCATTTCAACAAATGGGGGTCAAGGAGAGCTTGAATACACTTCACAAGACAACACTCATCATAGGTTCAACAAGCGAAGAAATCATAGGATGGTCTAGAAGAGCTTCTACAATACGAAATGGGGTTGAGGGAGGATCCAGTAGTATGTAGATCCTTGAACCATATCAACTTGTCGTCTAAGACATTTTCTCAACAAATTTATACTTACTAAGATACCTTGCCAGGATTAAAATGGGCGATTATTCGCTCTTGCTATCAAAAAGTGGTCATTCAGGTGGTATTTGACCCTTTGAAGTTTTATCCAAAGTATTCTCAGGCTCTAACAAAATTCTCCAAGCTTGTTTGGCTAACAAGCTATGTTAAATCTATTGTCATAGAAGTCCGACCTCCCCTCTTGAATTTACTTGTACACAATTATGGCCAAGATATCCATTGCATACCATCGTCCTTGTCATGATTAGCCCACCAAACTTGTACACAATATAGATGTGAGTTTGAAGCACGACATAGCAAATATTTGAGTGGCAGTTCGTATGAATTTAATGACCACCTTTTTTGCTACTAGTGACACATTTTTTAATTTCTAACTTTGAATGTGGGCCGCCAAGGATTCCTCATTGTATTAAAATGTAAGCATTTCAAAGGAGTGTATATGGGAAGGGAGGTCAAAATATTTATTATGAGTTCCGATCTTTGATACTCCCAAGGCACTATCAAGTCTGAAGCTTCTAAATGCGAGAAATTTGAGCTAAAAAATACTACAAAATTTTGAAAATCCACTCGATGGCAACTGTGAGCTTCATAAATCTGAAGAAGAACACCGTATCTAGTTTGGCCCTGCTGTAGTTTTTGCAGAAGCAGTTTCTGGTTGGAGCTTTTAGATAAGTATTTAAAAAGAAAAAAACAGTTTAGTGTTTGGCTGTAAAACTATTAGAAGTGTTTTTTAATATGAGCGATTGTGTAAAATGACTATAAAGGACATATAATATAAAATATGAATAAAAATTCTAAACAATAAGAAGTAGTCAAAATGGATCTTGTTAGATTTATTTTATATTAAATAATCAATGTTGTCAGAACCAAACCGGAGCATGATCCGGTAATGCGAACGGCTCGTACTTTAGTGGTCCAACCGGCATTAGACCGTTTAAAAACCGTTAAAGAACCGGTACCTAATAAACGTTATCAGTATAAATAGTGGACATTTCTTAATCAGAACTCATCTCTTTCCTTCGAAATTGTGAAATGGAAATAAGAATTCAGTTTTAGAGGCCGACATTTTTGGTTTATTTCAATATTCAAATTTCTGCAACTTTTTTAATTAAATTTAGTGGTTGAGTGGAAAAAACCGGACGAGCGGCTCAATCGGCTCGAACTGTTAACCGCCTCGGCCGCTCTTCAACTGCTACATAAAATCGGAGCGGCTTTTAGACTGTTCCGAGCCGGTTTTGTGACTGGGTGACGGTTTTACCGGTCGGGCCGAGCGGCTCGGCTCGGCTTTAATAACATTGTAAATAATATGATTTTATAATTTATTTTATTTTTAAAATGATATAAATCAAGGAAAATTATATTTTCTTGAATTTTCAAAACATCTTTTCGCAGAAGCTCCGATTTGGAGCTTCTGCTTTTATGTTATACAAAAGCGCTTTTCGGCTATTCAAAAGCCGAGGTTTTAGAGATGTTTGGTCCTGCTTTAGCTTTTGGAGCTGAAAAACACTTCTAAAAGCCGGGCCAAACATAATAAGATGATTAAAGCTTTCTCTTTCAACGTTTAATGTTAGTGCCAGTGGGTGAGTGTCTATCGTGGGGATTAATATTTAATACTACGATTATCGTAAATTGCTTGGGAGTTCAGTTTATGGTTGCAGTGACGTGTTAAACAAGGTCATTTAGTTTAGTCAACGTATAGAGGGATCATTGGTGGCGACCCCAGTAACCAAGGCACAATTTGTCAAAGTGGACCATTTGGTTTCACCGTTTTTCTCCTTCCGGAGCAGGGGACTTGCAAGTGGTTCACTTGTTAGTGATAATTCATATTTGTTTGTTTTTATTCATATGTTTCGATAAAGACGAGACAATAAATGTTTGAAGATGTCATGAGATGTTATCGACCAAAGCAATCTTAATTGGTTTGTCATGGAATTCGGAATTTAGTAGTGTCCATATGACATGTTCTGATGTCTTAAAAATTCGTCAAGGTTATTGATTCCAACTACTTTTTCGGTTACTATTGGACAAACTAACTTCGACATAATTGTTAGAAATAAGAACTAGTTCACGAGTCTCGTACTAATGCACAATCGAGAGTCCTGTACCCAAAACATGCCTACTAAAGTTTCAGAGTCAAGATATCGGAAAAAATCCCATAATACACTTATTATTAAAAAAAATTCCCAAAATACAATACTTATAAAAATATTTCCCAAAATACAACAGTTTGGTTATCACCGCTGCAAACAAAAACAGTGATGGAAATCACCGTTTTTGACCAAAACGGTGATAGCATCACTGTTTTGGTCCAAAGCGATGATGCTATCACCGTTTTGGACTAAAACGGTGATAGCATCATCGCTTTGGACAACAACAGTGATGCTATCATCGCTGTTGTCAATGACGGTGATTAACTCACCGTAGATTTGCGACGCGGTGAACATCTTCACCGTTGAATCCAAAAGCGGTGAAAGTGCGCGGATCGCTGACGTGGACGCGGGCGGGGACTTCACCGCTGAAGACCAAAGCGGTGATAGCCCCGCTTTCCACGTCAGCGATCCGCGCCACCCGCGCGTTCACCGCTGCCGTTGGATGCAGTGAGGCGCGGATTGTGGTTTTTCTCCACGATCCGACGCCTCACGCCGCGCCACGTCATGAATCCAGGCCATCACCGCCTTTGTTGGACGCAGTGATTTCACTGCTTTCGTCAGAAGCGGTGATTGGTCCCTGGTAATTTTTCCAGCGACTCTTTCCCCACTTTCCCCTATAAATGGAAAAAATCCCATAATACACTAATTATTAAAAAAAATTCCCAAAATACAGTACTTATAAAATTATTTCCCAAAATACAGCAGTTTGGTTATCACCGCTGCAAACCAAGACAGTGAAAGCAATCACCGTTTTTGACCAAAACGGTGATAGTATCAACGCTTTAGACCAAAACAGTGATGCTATCACTGTTTTGGTCCAAAGCGATGATCCTTTCACCGTTTTGGACCAAAACGGTGATTGCATCATTGTCTTGGTTAAAAGCGATGAAAGCATCATTGCTTTCTACCAAAACGGTGATGCAATCACCGTTTTGGTTTAAAACGGTGAAAGGAGACCTTATCACCGCTGATGTGTAAAGCGATGATATCATCGCTGATGTGTAAAGCGGTGATAATTGACACGTTTTACCGGCCTGGTAGGTGGAAATTAGGTCACAGCTACCAAGCAATCACCGCTGAGGACAATGGCGGTGAACACATCACTGTTTTTGTCCAAGGCGGTGATTGCAAAAAAAATTATCTATAAATACTGACCTCCACTTCCCCTATTGCTACTTTACAGAAAATTAGTACAAAAAATAGTGTTTTATTAGTCGTTTTCTCAGCTGGTTTGGAGTTGGTTTACTGCTCAAGAAACTCGTCGGGATTCGGTATGTTATAATTATGTAATGTTTACATGTTGATGTGTTAGTAATTTATATGTCTGTATTTAGTGAATTGCGGTTATTGGAAAATATGTTATGATATATTTAGATTAATTATGATATGATAGATGTTAGTTAATTAGTTATGAATTTAGATGAATTTGATTAGTTTTCTCATGATAGATCGGGAGTCGGTATGTTATAATTATGTATTGTTTACATGTTGATGTGTTAGTAATTATATGTCTGTATTTAGTGAATTGCGGTTATTGGAAAATATATTATGATATATTTAGATTAATTGTGATATGATAGTAGTGAATTAGTTATGAATTTAGATGAATTTGTTTAGTTTTCTCATGATAGATCAATTACATGCGTTTGTTTATGGGTTTGGATGATATTGTTTTTGTATCCCTAATGTACTAATTATATACTATACTTAATTATTATAAATTGCAGACATGGTTAAATTTAAGAAGTTTGGGCTTATTATTCGGTGGAATGGTCGGGTGACAAACTCGAACATTGGCATCGACTATGAAAATGGCGAATCCACTATGCTAAAAATTGAGTCGAGATTCTCGTGGCAAGAACTTCATGACATTGTTGCAGAAAGGACTTGTACGGGCGGGCAAATGAGAGTTGGTCAAATTGCCTACCGCTATCCAAACATGAGTGCTGGCGGAGTTGTGTACGAAAAAGTTGTCATAAACGATGATGACTCGGTGAACATGATGATACAGTTCCTATCTGACAACGGGTTGCGGCTTGCAGAGGTGTATGTCGAGACCGAGCCAGTCGGTGAAACTCATTCTCACCAGTATTCTTGTGATGATGGTTTTGCAGGAGGGTATGGCTGGGGTGGTAGTTCAAGTAACTACGAAGGAGGTAACTACGAAGGAGGTACTTCTGCAGGAGGGTATGGCTGGGGTGGTACTTCAAGCAACTACGGAGGAGGTAGTTATGAAGGAGGTGGTGGTTGGGAAGAATACGTGCAACCAACTGAGACGGCCGTCAATATCGTTCAGCCCAACGGTGATCAATGGCCTGCTTGGGGTCCAGAGTGGGCTGACATTGGGAACAACCTTCGAGAACAACCACAGATGCTCCTCAACCATACTTTCACAGGATCACCGGCAACTGAAAGCAAAAAAGGTGGCGAGAACCATTAAGCACCTAATCGAGGCACAACCGGATATCAAGATAAAAGCTATTATGGCCGAGGTGAAGGATCGACATTCCTACACCATAAGGTATAAGAAGGCGTGGCATGGGAAGCAGAAGGCCATGGCTGAGGTCTACGGTGATTGGGATGACTCGTATGCTTTACTCCCTCGACTAATGTCCGCAATGGAGGAGTCCAACCCTGGGACGGTATTCGTGCCGTGGTACAACAACGTGCAAACTGGAGATCAAGTTCGTGTACAGAACGAGTTGATGTTTCATCGTCTGTTCTGGACATTCAAACCATGCATTGACGGGTTTCCCTTCTGCATGCCAGTGATTCAGGTATATTACGGACTCAAAATATTGTACTAGTTCATTACCTTACTAAGTAAAATTTTTAGTAACTAATTATTCATTTTTAACAGGTTGATGGAACTTTCCTTACTGGGAAGTATAAAGGAACTCTTCTCATTGCAACTGGGGTTGATGGAAATTTAAGTATTTTCCCCTTAGCATTTGCATTAGTTTAAGGGGAGAACAACTTAAGTTGGGCATGGTTCTTTGACCAGCTACACGCCCACGTCACACAAAGAATGGGTATTACAATTATATCGGATCGACATGCCGGGATTAAACACGCCGTCAATGGTTTTCCCGACGAATGGGGATGGACATGGAGCTGGTGTATTCGTCACTTCCTTGCCAATTTCCAACACAAATTTGGCAAGAAGAAAGACATAAGAGATCAATTGTGGAGTGCAGGTAGTAATGTAGTTCAGTCGATTCTTCTTGCCCATATTGTTGAAATGAAATTTCTTATGGCTTAATTATTTATTCTCTGGTCTTGTAGCGGTTGCACATCAACCAAAGAAGTACGAGCAGAAGATGAAGACGATCCGTCAGATACACCGGGCGGGAGCAATATGGGCAGAAGGTCAAGATCTGCACATGTGGATATTTCATATGGACAACGGGGCTAGATTCGGCATTGCAACTACCAACCATGGCGAGAGCATAAAAGGAGTCTACAAGGGCATTAGGGCAATGCCTGTATCTGTCCTAGTGGAGATGACATACTGGAAGGTAAACGAGTGGTTTGTGAAGAGACGGGAGCTCGCTATAGGGAGGGAGCGTGCTGGTCATTCAATAGCACATCATATATTTGATGGCATGCAGAAGATCGAGGAGAAATCAAGTAAGCACAGGGTTGTTCTGTTCAACCGCAATGAAGGTGTTTTTGCTGTGATGACAGGTATATGGGGTGGAGGAAGATGTGGGCATAATCGTCAATCCATTACTCTACACGTAGAAACTCGCACCGGAGAGTGTACATGCCAAAAGTATCAAAACAGAAGAGTACCTTGTTCACATGCAATGGCAGTAGCTAAGTCGATAA